AAATGGGATATATTTAACATCATGAAGAAGTATTGAAAGTTCTGTAGGATCACACCAAGACATTTCATTTGGGAATGGAAGTGTTTTTGACATTGGCCAGCTGATGTTTCTGGAAACAACACAGAAAAGTCATATAAGCAACTGCCCTCCTTCATCTAAACATAGGGGTTCAAAAGGACCAGGTAGGGACAGGGGAGGGTCTTGTTAGGCGATGAGATGACCCACATTTGTTAACAATTGGAAAAGGCACAGAATAATTTAAAATATTTTCTCATAGAAGGAAGAAAATTGTTGAAATTATTTGTTGCTTCCTTTGCAAAGACACTTAACAAAATATTATATCCCTACTCTGTGCCCAAGCCTGCTGCTATAAACGATATTGATGGTAGACAAAACTGCCCCTCTTGATTCTACTGGATCCGTCATCAGCTGTCAATGCCATCATCTATAATAGCCGTTCAGAATTTGGAGACACGACGTTTTACAATGGCTGGTGTATTCAGCTCTTTGGCTATTGGTTTGTAGGGTTCAATGTTGTTCCACATGCTAATATGAAACTTTTGATGGAGACTGCCCTGGGTATAGAGGTCCAGGACCATATATAAGAAAATCAGGCCCAATTGTATTAAACCTTCCTGCCTAATCCCAATTTTAAGTTTGTTTAATACTCATCCAATCCATTAAGTTTGTTTAATACTCATCCAATACTCATACTTGGTTTTAGACCAGTGCTTGTCATGTGTAATGGATTGGATGAGTATTAAACAAACTTAAAATTAATCTAGCCAGGACAGAGGTCTTTTGTTCAGTTAAAAGACAGATGAGGCAACATAGATTGATCCCCTCCTGGATTCGTTTACACTGTCCATGAAGACATGTGTTCACAACTTGGGTGTACTACTGTCTTAAATCCTGAGTTTGAAAGCTCAGATTTCCACAATGGCCAGGACTGTCTTTGTACAATTAATACTTGTGCAGAAGTTGCTCATTCCTGAAGATGAGTAATCCGACCATGGTGGTACATAGTCCTAGTGTGCTTCTACACTATAGAATTAATGGAGTTTGACATCACTTTAACTGCAATTGCTCTATGCTATGGAAGCCATTGTGGAAATCTGACACTGTAGTTTTACAAGGTCTTTAGCCTTCTCTATCAAAGAGTACTGGCACATCACCAAAATACAACTCACATGATTCCATCCATATCATTGAGCCATAGCAGTTAAAGTGGTGTCAAACTGCATTAATTAAACACTGCAGATGCATCCTTGTTATATCTTGTTTGGACTAGTATAATATGCTGCATGTGGGGCTGCCTGATAAATGTTCAGTCCAAAGACCCCCAGACTGTTAACTAGGGTGAATTACAATCCCCCCCCCCAAAATAAAAAAAATTACAACAGCTCCACCTGCCATGGATCTGGAGCAGAATTCAAAGTGCTGGTTATAACCTATAACATTCATGTCCTGTTCGTCTGAAAAATTGTATTTTTCCACATGAGCCTGTATAGTTTTTAAAACTTCGAGGGAGGGCCCTCTGTCCATCCCACCACCTTCACAAGTACATCTTGTAGAAACATGGGTAGAACCTTCTTAGTAACTATATACAAGCTCCAGAATGGCTTTCCGATCAGGAGCATGATCTCCTTTGCAATTTCTTGCAGCCTCACTTGCTGGTGAGAGTGGGTTGGAAATGTAATTTTACCTGAGCTGAACAGACTCCCTTCATCATATGTGACTGCTGGCTGTTAAGGTGGGCTTGGTAGATTGGGCTAGGGGATGTTACTTAGTAATGCATATGTACTAGGTAGGCAATGTAGAATAAAGGTGGTAAGATTTTATTTGACCTTGTTGTAAGCTATCTTAAGCTTGGGAAATAGGTATAAACACATAATTCTTGATTTGTTAGATATTTAAAATCCTTTTTTAAATAAATAGATAAAAAGAGCTTTAGATCTGATTCTAATGAAACACTTTAAAAGCTGAAGTCATTGTGTGTTAATTACACAGAAATGTATAACTGTGTCACAACTCAGAAATGTCTCACAGCAAAGGGATGGGCCTTTCACTCTTTGCTTTTTCCCAGTCGGTCCAGATGGATTTTGATCTGAGCCCATAAGCTCTCTTGCGTTCATTCCAATGTTAAAATAATGTGACCAAAATAAAGTCCATATGTTGAAGTGCACAACAATGCATAGCTGCCTTCTTACGTGCCTCTCCTTCTTCATTATATAACAGGCCTTGTATCAGATGGGGTTATGAGTAGCCTGTATCCTAAGTATGGCAGTTTGTATCACAATAATGATATAAGAGTGACAATAATGAATTTGGGTTTGTTTTTTTAAAAAATAATGGCTTTGTATTTTGTTTTTGGCTACTGTCATCAATTCTTTTGAAGTTAATCCATTTGAAATAAACATTTAAATAAACATACACAATCTCTGGCTAAGACCCCATAGTCTTTCCCATAGTCTTAACCAGAGCTCATGCTGCTTCTGCAGAATCCTCAGTCCACATCTCCCCCATGCAGTATGTTGAACCCCAAAAGTCTTCTCTGAAAGGCTAGGAGCAGGTTTTTAGAGCCATGAGGAAGAAAACCTTCATACCTCTGCATGGGATATAATATGCTCTTGGGTCTTGCCTCATATAAACAATACCAGGCCCTGATTGTGCCCTAATGTGAAACATGTGCAGCTATGAAGTTTCACTGCAGGCATGCTCAACAATGCACATTAGAAACAATGTGGTGTGTGATGGCTTAGACATTTATTGTTCAAAGGACTGTGGGGGCTCTTGTCCCCAAGCCTCTCTGCAAGGAAGCATGCCTTGTTGTTATTCATTCATTCAGTTGCTTCCGACTCTTTGTGACCTCATGAACCAGCCCACACCAGAGCTCCCTGTCGGCCGTCACCACCCCCAGCTCCTTCAAGGTCAAGCCAGTCACTTCAAGGATGCCATCCATCCATCTTGCCCTTGGTCAGCCCCTCTTTCTTTTTCCTTCCATTTTCCCCAGCATAATTGTTTTCTCTAAGCTTTTCTGTCTTCTCATTATGTGGCCAAAATACTTCATCTTGGCCTCTAATATCCTTCCCTCCAATGAGCCGCTGGGCTTTATTTCCTGAAGTATGGACTGGTTGGATCTTCTTGCGGTCCAAGGCACTCTCAGAACTTTCCTCCAGCATGCCTGTTTTGGGCAAAATAGTTCTGCAGAAGTGACATGAAACCTGAAAACGATTGAACATCAATCTCCAGCTTCTTTCTGCAGCATGCTCTTCTTGGTAGATATTTTTGCAAGACACAAATACATGTCAGAAACTACTTTTATTAAGAAGGCTTATGACCAGCTTCCGCTGTTACACCAGCTCTGCCCCTTCCAAGAATCAGAGGTCCTAAAGATTGTAGTGGGCATGCCGGGAACCACAAGGCTAGAATTCTGCAGTGTGCTATGCATTGGGCTACCTTTGTACAAGTAAGGAAACTTCAGTTAGTTCAGAACATGGAGTCAAATTGATGACTTATATCTATAGGATCCCCTTCTTCCGCATAATCTGCTCCATACATTCAGCTTCTCTTGGAGAAATCTATTCCAGTCAGCATAAACTAGATGGGCTGTTATCCAGAGGACATTTTGTCCAGCCATCCCTAGATTGTGGAATGACCTGCTGAAAGAGATTAGTCAGTTCAAGATACTATCTTAATTTAAATCAGCAATAAAGATCAGTCTCTTCCAGCATGCCTTTCCCTTTGATTTTTACATTGTAGTTTTAAAGTATTTACTGATGGATCTTAATATGTATTGAATTTATACGCTTTCATGTTTGTTTTATATTTATAAAATCACATAGATGTGTTATGTTATTTGTTCCCTGTCTTGATCTTCTTCCTCTTCCTCTTCCTCCTCCTTTCTTTTTCCTTGGTTACTTTCAGACACATAAAGCCTCAACTAAAGCAGCTTTAATAACTGTGTGAGCCATGAAATTTCTGCCAGACTCTAAATAAAAACACAAAATACCTATTGCTTATGAATTACATGTCAATAGATCCAGTTCGCAGCCAAAAATGATCAAAAACAATGTAGGATAAAGTCACTGACTGAACATCAAAGCTTTGGACCCGTAAGAGCTTCAGAGAACAAAAAATTATGAATCGGATTTTTATAGGAACTTGTGGCATTAATGTGCATATTTTATTCAAAACATAGATTTTGAATATTTTGGAAACCGTTTGTTCAGTCTTGACGGTGGCATCCATCACAGGATAGCAAACACATTATGGTAGAGGATAGCACAGCGAGCTCTATAGTAATAGTTGTGGAAAGACATGAGCACAGATCTCTGCTCTTTGAAGTTAATTGCAATGTGCATGTCTGCCACAATATTTTTTGTAACATCCCACTATTGGACACAAAGCAAGGATGTAATTTTTCATTAAGAATCTTTTAGCAATTTTCTTCCTGCTGCAAAAAGTAATTGAAAAACATAGTTTTTAAAGACTATTTGAAATTCAGGATTTAATCAGCAAAATTTCACCCATAGTTGCTTTACACAGAAAAAGTTTTCTACTCAGAAAACAATATTCCTGTGTACATAAACATTCTGGAAAGAAAGTGCTGTTTTCAATGCAAATTGAAAGTGTGTGAATTTTGTGAAGAATAAATCCCTGATTACAGTATTTTTATACAGGAAACAGTTTTTTTCTGCAGAGGAAATATTTTTGCATAGACATATTTTCTGTGCAGAAAATTTTGTTTCCCAACAAAGCAACCACATAGAAACTGTAAAGCTTCTCATCAGTCCAGAATCCTTCTCCTCAGGGTTTATTGACACTTAAAACACATGTTTTTAAATCATTTGTCAATCCCCAAAACAGACTTTCCTCCTCCCACAATTGTAGCTTTTCACACTCTAGAATTCAAATTCATGCACAGTAGCTAGTTTCCACTTCTGAATCACTCCAGTTGCAGAAGCATGAATGCTTAGTTTTTAGGACACCACACAACGTTCAGAAAGAAACCAGATTTATTTGATGAATATAAACGAGCTGATCAACACCGAGCACTTCTCATACACATGATAACAATGTTATGAACTCTAAATACCTTGGTACTTAACACTTCTACAAGACATTAAAAGTACAATGACTGCTCTAAACATGCCCACTGGTAATTCCTAAGGATTCCTTAGTTTTTCATATCAATGTCCTTAACCATATGTCGAGATCACAATCCAGAACATGCCACTCACTTGAAGAAAATTATTACAAGAAGCACTATCAAATAAGGGTCAAAGGTAAATAGGGAATACTGACCCATTGCTGCAGAACATCACATTCAAACAATCACTCTACACCAAAGGAAAATGCAGATATAGGTTGTGACACATCAGTAGTCTTTTCATAAACACTGTTTAAAAAGGAAATCAAAACCCACTTTCAAATGAAAGTCAATGTGCATTTACGTGCATACTAGATACACAAAAGTCATTTAAATACAAAATTCCATTTGTACATTGAAATGAAAGAATGTGCAGTACAAGCATAATTTCACAGTAAAATAATACTCATCTTAAATGTTAACCAAAAATTGTTGTTTGAGTTCTCTTTTTTTTACACTGAAAGGGGAGGAGAAATCTACCAAACATTGCTTGAGTAAAATGTTTGCCCGACATCACAGTGTTTGTTGTAAACCCAGAGATTCTATTTCACGGTATGAAAAAAATTCTGCCCTAAATATTACAGAATATCATGTAAAACAAAAAGAGGAAGAGGGAAACAATGTAATGTTAGATAAAATTTTCTTCTATACAGGCTAAGTCTTAGGCCTTGATAAAAGTCAGGATCAATACTCTTACCAATATGAGTGGAGCAAATAAAAAATGCCCCCAAAATAATATCTGTGACAAAATTGGCACACACATATAAATATCTAGCTATACAGTTTTGATTTGTAAAGACCCTATGTTTTCCTAGTTTATTTCCTACTTCAAGTATTCAGTTGCAGAATTAAGGTAAAGACCTGACTGTAAGAGACACAGAAGGCATGATCTTCTGCAAAGCTTCCTTGCCCAAGCCCTATAGGGTTGACAGAGAAGTTGTCCACCTCTCCTCCTAACCTACCTCTCGTCCCTTTCGCTTCAATGGCGCTTGTGCCGAAGAACTCCCTTGAGGATTGTGCCCAGACAGTTGTCTCTTACTAGGACAACAACTTTGTCCCAAGAAATACAAGTTTGTTGTCCAAGTTCGCAAGTGCAACATTTGTCATATGTGCTAAATAAATTTCCAGGAGCTTTGCTTTTTAAACAAATGAAAAAAAACCAAAAGTTTAAAATTTCATTGATAAAGGACAAACTTTTAAAGCATAACATGAATATGAATGATATCTATGTTACATAGATTCTATACAGATTTGTTATTTCAGGTATTCAATTCCTAACGAAAATTCTGCTTGCTTCCAGTGGATCTTTACTTTCATCAACGATGACGGTGTACTCAACAAAGAAATTATTGTTTTCTACAAAAATCATATTTTCCAGGAGGGTTAATATGTATGGCTCATAAAAGATGATCAGGATTAATTGCACTAACCTCTCAAAAGCAATAACAATATTTTGTTTCTAAATTCAGTGCAAGATTGTTAGGAATATCCTGTTCAGATTTTTTTTCTCACAGCAGCAAAGAAAAAGAAAAGAAAGATACTAAGATTTAAGGCCACACATGTTTAATTCCATGGGGAGGCAGCCCACTCCACAGTACTGCTGCATGACATCCATTTATTTCAGCAAAGCCCAGCATGTATCTTATTAAAATAAATGGACATTTCACAGCAGAAGGGGTTGGTGATTTCCTATGTTGTTTCATTTTCTATTTTTATTTTATTAGAATTGCAGATAGTCAATATCCATTTATATGAACCTCAAAGAGCCCCTTCCACTGGCAAAAAGATGTGTCAGTGAAAGAATTGAACCCTTACATGCATACATATGCCAGATTGAATGGAAATGCTTATTAAAGGGGGGGACCTTTGCTTTGGGAAACAACAGACATTTAATCATCAATAATACTCTGTCCCTACACCGAACAGCTTCAGCCTTTCCCCACTCCAAGCATTTCCCTTCTGGCATGTGCTTTTACTTGTTCGTGTTTATTATCATTTGTTTCATCATGGAGATAACCTTCAATTATCTCCTTATTCATTGACACTTTATTTTGTTTAACATTTAAAATACAGTATAAAGTATAGTAAGCATTGTTGCCCTGTTAAGAAAACAACAACGTATGGTCCCTTCTCAAAAAGGAGACCTAATGCATATATCAAATAATCACAACATTCTTTTTTTTAATTAAAAAATTAAGAGTCCCAGCTTTCCTATGAAGTACTGTTGTGCATTTGGACAATAAAAGTTTGATACATCCTCATAGATGTTTGTATAATATGTACACAGATACATGTACACATGCTTACTTCAAGCTTTTATCATCCAGACAGACATCAACCACTGCATATAAATAATTTCTAGCCAATTTAGACTGCAATCCTATACACACCAAGCTAAGAATAAGTACCATTAAACTCACTGGAACTTAGGTCTAAGTAGATATGTATAGGATTGTACTATTAGATGCCCCATGCATTGTCAGAGACACACACCATATTGTCATATGCCAACAGATGTTAGTACCAAAAATTGATTTCATTTCCAACCTGGCCCAGAGCTTAGTACTGGTGGTTACATAATCAAAATGGTCTGAATAAGATAAGAAACAGAGGAGGGCAAAGACATATTATTACCCTGAAAAGCCCACATTATTGTGGACATGATTAATGCTGACATCATTATGTAACAGCTTTCTAGTCCTGTAATAATCTAATGCATTAGAAGTGATACTTTAGAAGAAACTAACCATAATCAGCAGATGGTGACACTGCAAGCTAATGGAACCTCAATTGCATATTAAAAATTAATACAAATCTGTCAATGAACTGTTTCAATGAACTTCATTGAATAATGCTCAGCTGGAAAAAAGGAACAATTCATATGACCCCATTAAAAGTAATGGAAGTTCTTCTCATTCCTGATGAAGTCCCCTTAATTGTTTTCCAAAGTATCTGACTTCGTAATAGATTACAAGAAACAATGGAGAAGACACCTGCTTATGCAGCATATTATTTGATGGCAACCTTTGTGTGCCCTATCCACTTCTGTGGACTTTTTGGGAGAGAGTGGTGATTACATTCAGGGTCCCATTGCTGATCTTCTTCCTCCTCCTCCCCCTTCTTCCTTCCTCCTCCTTCAGTCATTTTTCTTGCCAATTCATCATGCAGTGCTGCATATTGTTTACTTCTTTCTCCAGCTTCTCTGATAACTGCAATTAATAAAACATGCAACAATTAGTTCACATCAAGGTTGCCTGACTCCTTCACCTACTGTTTTACACATATTCTTCCCAGGGTTCTCAGATCTAGATATGAAAACCCATTTTGGGTTCTACCATTCAGATATACTCAGTTTAGCAATGTCTACAAGGGGACATTTAAGTGAGAGTATCCACACTGTGGACCAGGCACTCATGGGTGGCTTACCAGTTCCCCATGATCATGTTGGAGCACAACTATTTTTTTGTGTGTGTGGTCTTTCCAGTTTGTTTCTGGCTTTTAATCTGGTTTTTAATAAAGGTCAATATTTTTTGCTCTTTATTGGGGATATCTTTTGTTATTCAAAATGATTGGGTTTTTTTGTTTAATGCTGTGCTTTTGTTTGGTTTCTTGTTATGGGGGTGGTTTTAAAAATCGACAAAGAATGTGCATCCTGTAAATAACTTACACATCCATGAGTTGCTCTACAGCAAAAATGCCTGGATGTTTTTGTCCATATTCAGTGAAAAGGTCCAGAAGCAGAACAGCACATGCCAATGAGAAAGTGTTTCAGTAGCAGAAAGTGCTGTCATTGGCAAAAGCTGGAGAGCTCTTTTGTTTAAAAGAGAGAGCAAGCTAAGCTCTTACTTCAGTTAAAATGTTGTTGTTATGTGCCTTCAAGTTGACTCCAATTTATTGCAATCTTCTTATGGGGTTTTTTTTATTCACAGGAGGCTCGCAATTGTCCCTTTCTGAGGCTGAGAAATAAAGACTTGCCAAAGGGTTTCTATGGTTGAGTGGAGATTAAAACTCTGATCTTCTAGTCCTAGTCCAGCCCTTAAACAGATCTACCACATTGGCTCATTACGGAATGAGATTTATTTGGAGACTTAGTCTAGAGTAAGGGTGCATATAATTTAAGTGTTTATCTTTTCATAACATAAAAAGCCCTAAGGCCTCATTCTGTTCATTAGTACCATTTTTTTACTGCAGGGACAAGAGCTCATACCATAATAAGATAGGCCTTTCACACTGATCGTACTATATATCACAGCAGGAAATAATAACATTGGGGACAGAAATGTGTGTAAAAATAAGAATACTATAAGATGAAATGTCCATAGGTTATTCTAAGGAGTCTTGCAACACATTAGACTGATGAAGTCAGATCTGGTCTTAGAAAAGCTAAACTATAACACACTTTTAGACTTTTAGATTCAAGAAGGCTCTGCTGTTTTGGCTGCAACAGCCTGAAACAGTTATGTTTCTGAAGGTGTATATTATTGCACATATTACAATGTATACCACATTGTACTAAATACTCCAAGAAGTATTACAGAGTGCACAGATTTTCTCCAACAATACATTACATACATGAGAAATTTGGACTGTAACCAATCACACCAAAATGTAGAATCAAGTTATAGTCTTCCCCCCCCCCCCCCCCCCCATTTCATCTAAAAGTGATGTGCAAATGCATTACTTCAGTATTATACTCGGAAATAGTCTTATGCACAATGTTTTTTTCTTTACATCACACAGGAAGAAGGGATAAAACAAACCCTTTGCAGTTTATTGGCACATTAAACTTAGTCTGCGGCTCAAACATTAGACGTAAAATTACCTAATACTATTCTCATAGTTATAAATACATTTCCAAGATATCTGTAGTTGCATGGTCTAGAGGACAACAACTCAGGTTTTTAACAAGTGAAATGCTCAGAAAGACTGTTTTTGGCTGAAGAAGTGTAGGTTTTTTTGTTGCCTGAAAAAAACCTTAATAACTCATGATGATATATGCAGATAGCTGAAATATGGTAGTAATATATAGAAATAAACTACAGGTTATCCCTCAAAGATACAAAATGAAAATAATGAAACCTGATAAACAATACCCCTTAATAGAATACCTTTATTTGTCATTGTGTATGTCTTTGCCCATACACACCACAAAACAACACACCATCCCTCCACAACCCCACCACCACCACACAGCCCCCAATGCCACATCAGTGCAAAACCACAGAGTTCAACATAGCCACAGCTCTAGGATAAAAACTATCCTTAGTCTGTTTGTCCTTGTCACCCTGTACTATTTGCCAGATGGCAATAATTAAGTATGCTCTGAGCTTTCTTAAGGCAGCAGGAATTTATAAAGTTCTTTCAAAGAGGGGAGAGGGCAACCAGTGATTCACTGTGCAGAAGTGGTGACCCATTGGAGCACCTTCCTATCTGCCACTGTGCAGTTACCAAACCATGCACAGGTGCAGCAAGTTAAGATACTCTCTGTGGCATAGCAGTAGAAAGCCACCAGCAGTTTTTCATTCTGTGTGGTTCCTTAGGAGTCTCAGGTAGTATAGTCTCTGCTGGGCCCTCTTAACCAATGCTGCCACATGGGCCAGATCCTCCCTCAAAGTGACACCCAGGAACTTAAAACTGGTCACCCGTTCTACTTGTTCTCCATTTATGACCAAGAGCTGAATTTCTGATCTGTTCTTCCTATAATCCACAATGAGCTCCTTGGTCTTGTTGATGTTAAGAACCAGATTATTGTCCTTGCACCACAAGAGCAGCCAATTCACCTCATCCTGACAGGCAGACTCATTCCATTCAGAGATAACCCCCACTACAGTTGTAACATCTGTGAATTTGGTAATAATATTGTTATGGTGGATGGGGGTACAGTCATATGTGTACAAAATGAAAAGCAGAGGACTCAACGCACAGCCCTGCGGCATCCCAGTGTTGAGAGTGAGAGCTGATGAGGTATAGTGACCTAATCTAATCCTCTGGGAACATATAGACAATAAGGCCATAATCCAGGAACAGATGGAATATGACAATCCAAGCTCCATGAGTTTAGACACCAGTTGATGTTCCATGTGTTGAACATGGAACTAACGTCTGCAAAAAGCATCTTCACATAGTTCCCCCATCATTCTAGGTGGGTCAGAGCAGTGTGGAGTGTGATGGCTACAGTGTCCTCTGTTGATCTGTCGATTTATGTGCAAACTGATGATTATCCAGTGCATGTAGAAGGCAAGAAATGATATGCCTGAAGGCCAGTTTTTCAAGGCACTTCATGATGGTGGAAGTGAGTGCCACTGGTCTGTAGTCCTGAAAATTCCCAGTAGAAAATTTCTTTAGTATCGGAGCAATGATGTCGGCTTTCAAACAAGATGGAGTAATAGACTGAAATAAATACCGGTTAAATATTGCGGTAAAAACACCGGCCAAACCCCATAAGACAGGGATCCTTAAACTAAGGCCCACAGGCCAGATGCAGCCCTCCATGATCATTTACCTGGCCCAGTCCTAAACTTTAGATTTAGGGTCACCCTATGTCTGAAACAACTTGAAGGCACACAACAACAATCCTAAATAATTTGACATCTCATCAGTTAAAAGCAGGCCCACACTTTTTCATTGAAATACTAAAAAGTTTATGCTGGTTAAATTGCTCTTAATTTTAAATGTTGTATTGTTCTTTCATATATTTTTTTTGCACTACAAATAAGATTCAATCATGTTGTTTTCAAACTATAGTCCGCCCCCCCCCCCCAACAATCTGAGAGACCGTGAACTGGCCCTTTGCTTAAAAAAATTGGGTACCCCTGCCATAAGACATCATGATTTCAGACAAGGCAGGTAGAAACCAATAATTAGAGAAGATATTTAAACTCTTTTTTTATGGTTTCTAAATGCTAATTCCATGTCCTAATAAGTAACCCCAGTATGCTCCAATATGCTGTTCCCTATCTAATGTCTTTGCATGATTCAACCTCATCACCACCATTGTTGTCACAACAACATATTATATTTGAATTGCATGTGTATAGTTTATTTTAAGAAACATATACGCTTATTCTAAAACATAAGTATTGTTCAATACAGATCAATATTGCAATTAATATTCGCATACCAACCATTCCCAGCACTTTTGTTAAAAACAGTTAGACCCAAAACTTTTTGACATGAATGGAAAGATTCCCATCAACTTCATTAGGAATTTGGATCCAACTCTGGCAGAAGAAGAAATGATTTCTACAGAGTTGGAAAGTTTGGGAGTTCCTGAAGTAGATCATGTTACAAGTTCTGGCACATAAAATCACTGCAAACGTTTTATGAAAACTGTAAGTCAAAGCACGCATCACATTTTGTGAACTGTACATAGTTCCCATTATTTTGTGTGTGGAGGATCACTCAAAGAGATATATAGACACAGGAAGTACCCATGTGAATTAACAAGAAGCACATGTTCCAACTATAAGAACGATCTATGGCTCTTCTCCCTCTCTCTCCCTCTCTCTCTTTAGATGAGAACGATGTATAATTTCCCAATGTTCTTGATATTTTACCATCTGAAGTACCTTGGCAATTCTCACTAACTGATGTTAAAATCAAAATTCTGCTTAAAGAAAGAAACAATGAAGAAGAATGAGCAAAGAAATGCAAAATGCAGGCTTGTTTCTTGGCTCTCTCTAGCTGTCTTACAGCAGTATTACAATTCTTGGATAAATTTCCCACTTCTGTCTTTCTCAACTGATTCATTAATCAAGAAAATGCATGTATCTTGATCCAAAATAGAAAAAAGAAAGAAACCAGAGAAAATGCAGGAAAAATATGACTTTTCAACACTTGCTAGAGTTCAGGATGTATTTTTTGTTTCTGTATTTTGGACTACAGTATGCCAAAAATACAGAACACCTAGCCTTAACACGCCAATTATAAACTACCTTCACATAAATTATGTTGATTTCAGGACAATTAATTCTTTTGTAAGCCATTTACCATACAATAGGCTACATCAGATTTAACAGAGTTTACTATCAGTTATCCGGTTTTTGAAAGGGGTGAACATTTAATTTAGTGTGGTTATTGTTGTTTGCTGTTGCTTTCAAAAAATGTATGAAGTCCAACACATTTCTTCAAGAATAGAATAAAAAGAATCTGAGATGTTAGAAAATCGTATCTGGAAGAAAACCAAAATAGCCAAATTCATCCATTGAAG